AGCCAGTGAACAATCGTGTGAGGGCTAGTTCCATCGAACTTCGGAGGGTCCATCCGAATGGGCCTCGGTTGAGCAGGCAGGGCAGAGAGCGTCTCAACAGTTCTGTTGAGCGCCTCATTACGTGCCTGCTCAAGCCTAATCTCATCCTGAGTCTTAGTGATGGACTCAGCGGTGGCTTAACTGTTTACCTCGGCCGCAATTTTTCGCTGTCCGGGCACAAACGCCTCAAATTGATCCAACTGAGCAAAATGTTGCTCAGGGGGACAATGCAAGAGATTGACCAGGGCTTGTTTACCAAGTCCCTGCGCCATATGCTCTGCCAACTCCCTATGATGTTGGGAGAGGTGAGGGAAGTCACTCCTGTCCATATTAAGGACCATCTCAACCACACGCACGCTCAGAGAGACGGGTCGTGGGAGGGACTACGAGTGCTACCAAGTGTAGACGGGCACTTCTACGAAGTTGCCTCGTACTACGAGCACACCTTATGCACAAGCGAGGAAGCGGTTAGACCGTCTTACCTTCGCGTGCGAGGGTGGTTGGGAGGTTGGTCGACTGCTTAAGCCGTCGTACCACCAGTTTCCTCTCGCTTTAGCGAGAGTGCAACGAACTTCTTAACAAGAAAAACCGACGTCACGCAGAAGCTTTTCAGCTTCTCGTGCGTGGTGCGTATGTTTAAGCAAACTCAAGACTGAGCTATATTTAATGAATTATAACTAAATATATACTTAACTACTGATTGGCTATATATACATAGATCGGATACGCGACTCTTTAGAAGCGTATCCTGTCGCATGAACTTAAATCTAGATTTAAGATCGCAACTGACGTCCTTTTGAGACGTCGCGATGCCCAGCTTCAACTAGCGTCATCCCTTCTCATGTGAATCCATCAATGTATATCACATTCACGAGGGTGGATCACATTTGTGTATCGACCCCAAGTGACAGGTCAAAAGTAATCATGGATACTTTTAGACGAAACATGAAGTATATTACTTAATGTTTACGTGTAACTAGATGCTCTGTTACACGTAAGAGCATGATAAGAGAGCAAACCTTGAGCTACAGACGATGCGTCGGCCAGAAATTTCACGTCGAGTCGGCTTAAAAACTCCATCAGAATGACATTGGCGCCGTCCACGTCATTAACTTTGTCGGCGCTAAGAAATTCGTGAGTCTAGCCAGGAACCATGCTGAAAACCGTTGTGTTGGCCTTCGCAACGTTTTCATTGCGTGCAGCAAGGATGGCCTATTGGCTAAAGTAATTTCGCGGACCATTCTAGCATCTGCAACGCCGTTATAAGTGACATGTATCAATTTGTCAAAAGTTTGGGTGCGAATTACCATTGCGTAGGGACATCTTTACGGTCCTTGTCAAGTTTCTTCAGCCGACATTTGCCAAACATCCAACTTTTATGTTACCGAGATCTGCAATTGGCTTAGCTTTAACGGCGCGCATGTTTCGGCGCAAGCGCAAGACGTGCAAATGCGCTCCTCGCTAAAACTCTGTAATTGATGTAGCGACAATGTACGAGCGCAGACCCTTTGGGATGACGAGCAGGTGCTAACGGAAGTCGCCGCACATTACGTAGGTGATTCTCCAAACGGCGAGTCTGGTCGATCGGTAATGTCATGTAGCTTGCGGTCCACAGCCTCAATCGCAAACTCGCTTATTATTGGTTCCTCGTCACGCAGAAATAGCGTCGTACAGCGGATCACTTCCGCAGGTAGGCGGACCCGAGAACAGAAAATTGTCACGCATTAGTAGTCTGCCATCACTATCATAAGTATCTTTGTCGGGAATCGCTAGAACAAAATCTTCGAACATAACTAAATGTAAACCGCTTGGTCGTAGAGCAACTACTTGATTATCAACAGAGAATGGAACTATACAAGAAACTCATAGATGCTGGTTGGATTCCTACATGGACGGGGTCGAGAGTTAATATATCAGGGCGAGTTTCCTGTTTCAAGGCATCGCCAACGAAAGCTGCTCCGTGATAAAGTGATAGCCCTTGAGCTCGTTCATGTCAAAAGATGGTGCCGGAAGGTTGATGTCAAGAAACGTCTTGTCGAGCCCGAGTTGGAGCTTGCACGATGCGGTAAAAAGTGAAGCTATCTATCAAATCCGCTAACGGCTTAGCATATCCACCTTAACGAAGTATGTGAGCACAGTCATCCGGAAAATGGCTGAAGAAGTCTCCAATTACCGTCGCGGTTCAGCGTGCGGTCCGTGAATGCGAATTGTTAAACACATAAAGAGTAGAGTTGCGCGCCTCTCTGCATAAATAACGCTTTGCACAGGCATTGCTTCCGCTTCTCGTTGTTCTGGTACAATTCGCGCGCGATGCAGTTCGCACTAAACGTTTCGTACTTAATTTCATCGTACGCGTAAGTAGATTAATAAAGATTATTGGCCCTTACACGGTCGTCGAACGTGTCCGTAGAAAGTTTTGTTTGCCAACTTTTGGGCCGACAAAGCCAATAAAAGCACTGCAGTCGTACGATCGTGCCCCTTGTAGACGTATCTAAAAAAGATCGAGAAACTGATTTGTAAATGCATTCTAGGTCAGCTTAAGTACGCCACGCCGGCATACCTTGCAAAAAAAAACGTCAGACTTACCCCGATATTGATGTGTGCATCGTAGTTAGATTTTGTGCGGCACGATTCATCGGTTGTTAATACGACGACCTTTGCGTTGACAACGAAACGCCCATCATCACGCCGTCACGTTTGGTCGTCGAAGGCTCTCGAATAGCGGTTGGTGCATTTAACGCCCTTCATGCATGACGCTATCGGATTCTCCGCATTGCAAGGTCCATTTAGTAAGGTGTGAGTGAAGGTCTTGTGTGCGCCCAGGTCAATACCTCGATTCGGGATCCACGCTGACATGGCGGAACCGATTTTGTCGACGGTGCGAAACTTTAATGCATTATCCAGGATCCGGTCGATGTGCGCATGTGGAAGACCGCGCTTCTGGGGCCCAATAACCCAATCCTTGCCGACGACGCTTCCGAAGACTCCAGTCTGTGAGGTCACGCATGAGCTCCTTCGACTTGACGTGAAAAACCTTGCGGACCGATCCTGTGCCGTCTGTCCGTATTCCATCTCCGTCGTTATCATGTGCCACATTTGGATACACGTAAACGTAATTTATATAAAACAATTAGGTCGCCCGCAAGTGCGCACGATGGCCATTGCGTCATGGTAAACTTGACTCAATTGGCGGCCGCTTACGGCAAAAGTCGACGAAGTATCGACTTGCGCCCAACTTGCGCGGCGTCTTCGTCGCCCTCGGTGATTTATTGCGTCCATCACTCCGGAGTGTTACTTAATACATCTCACCTTGGTGGTCGGCGATGTACTACAGGCGATTATGCTCCACGCAATTTCCGCTCATCTACGACTTATTGCTGAAAGATCCACCCGGACAGAGATAGATGCCCTCCTAACGTTCTAGGATGCAGAGTGTAAGAGTAGTTATGCATCTGCGACACGCGTTTTGATCCACCCTTCCCACGGGCAGCATCCTCACTATCAGCCTCTCTTCTGCGTCATACTTAAGTTACCTCAGGCGTCCATCTTTGTCGACCATAGAATTAGAGGAAATAGTGGAGCGGTGTGTAGGCCGAATGAAGTGCAGAAATGCGCTGCAAGCTCTCGTCACGGCTCTTGGGATATTGTCACGATCGGAGATGCTTTCTTTGTATCCGTCGCCCACCATAATCGCGCCACTTTCGTTTGCCGTAGGAGTATTATACCTGCGTCTGTCGTTCAACTGCAGTAAAACAGGCGCATTTCCAGATCTACGACCTGATCGTTCTCCATCCGATCACAAACCTTTTTGTACAACTAAACATAAGGGTTAGCCATGTCTAGAGTTCTCCAAGGACACGGCGATCAAGGTTGAATTAATGTTCATCCGGCCAGCAATCGCGTGCAGCTATCTCAATGTAAAGCTGGGCAAACTTCCTTGAATGGCTAGTCTCCGGGAGGAGCGCCCTCATATGGTGGTATAGGGCACTTTGCAGTCGAAACGTATAAACGCCACCTTGAGTAAAGCGATCGTCCAGGATCTAACCCAACGACTTAAAAGAGAATGCGTTGTTGTACGCACGAAGGTTTTGCCGGATAGCGCGGGCGATGAGCGTCTGATCTCGCAGCAGACTCCGCAGCGGTTTGGGTGGTTGCGCCAACGGTGAAATGCTACCGACCTTGCCGCGATCACAGCACATAAAGTGCGTGTCTCCAGGGTTGAGCCGAGCTCTGACACATCAGAGGACAAGAGCAACCACGACAACGTCTAGGATGGACGTTACCGAAGATGCTCTTTGCCTTTACATCTTCGTACTCACCGATCTTCCCAGGACAGGCTGCTTGCGCATGCACGCCGTCGCGTGCAAAGCATCCGTATTATAATTTGTTAGAAGCTGCAAAAGGAACAACAAAGGCACACACAACTTAGATGCAAAGGAGAGAGTGATAGCTTAAGTCAATATTACAGGATAAATCATATATCTATTCCACAAACAGGTGTTCGTGATATCTCACAATCAATATGTCCAGATTACTGGATCATCATCTCTAAACTTGCCTTCCAACATGTTAGGGCGAAATAAATACAGTAATGATTATATTCTTGTTACATGTTAACAAGCCTTTATGAGTATGAAAAGTACGGCAATCTCGGAATGGCCAACAGACCGGTCGTCAAGCACCAGCATTAGACAGCACCACAGAAAGCCAAAAATTCATTTTAATTTGACGTTATAAGTTTCTTCGTAAGATGTACCCATTTGGTACATCAGATTTTTATAAATTTGGGTGGGTTGGTGATAATTAGCAAGGAGGTGACGAGATTATTTAAGCTACTTTTTAGCTTTAGATTACAGCAATAGCACGCAAGTAAAGTATTTACGTCCCAAATTGATTTCAATAAATTATAACCTACTGCTTATTTTACGGTAACTTACCGCCAACCATTTAGCTGTCGTGCTATGCATTTGGTCGACTTCAATGAGACCGTGTCATGTAAAAAGCGTCGATGTCGTAGTTCAAAGAAGAAGCGATTGAGATTGAAGAAACGTGGCAGTTTCGAATTGAAAACCGTGCAATTGAGTGAAATAAAATGCAACAAAGACAGTCAAATTCAAGAGTACAGCGTCATTTCGGATAAAAAAATCAACCACAATAAAGCACAAGACAGCAATATACATGACCAACACCAGAAACAAAAGCAAGAGCAAAAGGAACAAGAATTTACTCAAAATTGCAATAAAATTCAGGACCTTTTGAAATATCATGATGAAAAACATGAAGTCCAATCGATACTTAAACAAGAACTTGATATTATCAATCAAGAGCAAACCCACACAAGGATTCAGGATGGAGAAAATGACAATGAGGTTAAGAATGGGGATGAATGCACTGGACACGACCAGGAAATGACAATGTACGAACGCAAACGTTGTGCCCACATCCTTCGGAATCAGGCTTTTTTACAGCAAGTTGGTATGACAGCAGCTACGATAGCAGCTCGTGAAGCAGCAGAAGCACAAAGAGAAATAAAAAAACGGAAGTTGTTTGCTAGACGAGCAATGAAAGCTGCTGAGCTTCAGCAGCAGCCAATACGCAAGTCCCGACGCTTAGGCAGTGAAAAAGTGATATTTTCTAGTCACTCTGTCGAACTGGGTCATCCTTTAGATATTCTTCTCGTGAAAAGAATGCGTCAGCCATATGGCAACAAACTTTACGTGATGGATGCTAGTGATGAGGAAGGTGCGACGTTCTGCAATGAACTCGTCGGAGATCGGGACAAGTTGGAGACGCACGTGGCTTTGAACAGCGATGATGAGATAGACTATTCGTTGGCAAATCATGATGTTGTCAAGACTTTGCCATATCACATTACTGCAATGGCTTTCCTTCCACGAGCAGACCGAGTTGTTGTAGCATGTGGGGATGAAGAGGGTCATATCGCGCTTTGGTCGCCTGCTATCGATACCAATATCTCATCATCAGTGCTGTCGCGACCGCACGGTTATCCTGTCAGCCAATTGATCTTCCCCGATACGTCAACATTGATTTCCAGCAGTATTGATGGCACAGTGCGTGAATTTGATCTCGGCGCCGCGAAATCTTCATCACTCTGTGACATAAGTGATGAAACTGGGATTACCTCACTAATTGGATCGGGTAGTCCTCAATTCTACTACGCCAGCTGTGAGGACGGTACTTTACGTCTAGTTGATCGCCGAGCGCGGAAGGCGCATGGTACGACTTTTGCACTGCATAAGAAGCGGATCAACTCGGTGGATCAGCATCCAAGTCTCGACTTGTACGGTTTGTTGTATCGCCCCTTTGTCATGCACTGCTGGCAGGTTACTGAATATTGTTTCGTGAATTTGTTGTGCTTAGCTGCGTTGCAACTGCTTCTCTTGATGGCACCGTGTGCTTGTGGGATAAGCGTACGATCTCTTCCACAAATTGCGTTCCTCTGGCACAATTGCAACATAAGAACATGATGCATTCAGCGCATTTCTCTCCGAATGATGGATTTTGGCTTGTGACGGTGGCCAACGATTCGTATATTGATATGTACGACACGTCAAGTCTCATTAAGTGCAGGACATCCGATGCTCAGCTCACACTACCCCAGTCGATCCGCATTCCACACACGACTTGGACAGGGACATCAACGAAGCTTCGTCCAGCATGGGATCCCAAGAGAATAAACCGATTCGTGATCGGATGTGTGGATCAACCATCCAGATTACAATTTTTTCGCGTTGGACACCCGTACCCCATTCACGAACTTCAAACTGTCAATTATACTGGCTTCGATTTGGTAAATCTGTATCATCCACATGTCGATGTCATTGCAAGTGGTAACCAGAATGGACAAGTATCACTCTGGCGAAGGAATATATAACATGGTCGAAAAACGAGTTATTTTTCATAGCAACAAAAAATGGTTAAAATTAAAAATTACTGGAAAGTACCCAATTACTGAAATTTACTTGATTTGGTAATTTATCGGTGGTAGTTTACGCCCCCGGGAGCACCACCCACCCACCCACCCAAATGCGTCGTACTCGTTCCAGTGCATCAGCTGAGACTTCTGTACCTCCAAAACGTTTACGTTCTCTCCGATCGTCTTTACAAAATCCTCCTCTTTCACCCCCTTCTGTCACGTCATTACGTCGTTCATTACGTCATATCAATCCAGTCACAATTCCATTGAAACCTAACGAAAAACCCATTCAGAATCAGGATCAGGATCAGGATAACCATGACAATGATAAAAAACAGCAACATGATGCACGATTAACCGAGTATGAACGGAAACGTCGTGAAAATATTGAGCGAAACTTGGCTTTCATGCAACAAATGGGGGTCTCGACTGCTAAAATTGCAGCGAGGACGGCGGTCGATGATGTTCCTGGCTACGAGGCAAAAAAAGAAGAACAAAAAGCTCTTAATCGAGCTCTTCAGGCTGCTAAAAGGGCGAAACGGGTGAATCAACCGGTCCGGAAATCAAGACGTCTTGAGGGTAAGAAGGTTGAGGTTCAACCCATCGAGTCTATTGACCAATTTGAGCTTGAAAAGATGCGAGGCCCTCGTGTTCCTCGAGGCAGTAATCTTCATGTGATGGATACAGTGGATGGAGAGAGCAAATCTTTTTTAGATGGGATCACAGCAGATCTTGGAGAGGAAGAACTAGAGGAAGATATTATCTTGGAGGAAGATGATGATGGAGTGGAATACTCGTTGGCAAATGATGATATCATTAAAGCAGTGCAGGAACGTATTTACTCGGTAGCATTTTTGCCACGGCCGGACCGTGTCGTGGTTGCGTGTGGAGATAAAATGGGTCATGTAGCTCTATGGACACCACCAAGTGGAGCGGGTATGAAACAAGAGAACTCGGTCTCGCCACTTGCGGTTTACAGACCCCACTACTCTCCGGTGACTCAACTGATCTTCCCTGACTCATCTAAGCTAGTCTCGAGCAGTTTTGACGGAACTGTGCGGGAGTTTGATCTCCGTGCTGCGGAATCCTTGGTCGTGTATGATACGACTGACGATGCAGGTATTTCATCGCTTGTAGCAGCGGGCACGGCGCAGTGCTATTATGCAAGCTGCGATGATGGTACACTGCGACTGATTGATCGGCGCGCACAGAGGTTGCAAGGCTCCAGCTATCAACTGCACGAAAAAAAGATCAATACCGTGCACCAGCACCCAAGCCTCGACTAGTGAGTATTTGCTTACTGTTGTTGTAGAGAGGGATTGCGGACTGACTGAAAATGATGTGGTTGTAGCTGTGTGGCAACAGCTTCTTTAGACCGCACGGTGTGTCTGTGGGATGCTCGTAAAATGTCTTCGACGAAAAACACGCCGTTGGTGGCATTGCCACACTATCGCAGTGTCAATTGTGCCTACTTCTCACCTCGAGATGGCGCATGGCTGGTGACGGTGGGCCAGGACTCGTACATCGACATGTTTGACACCTCAAGCCTTGCCGAGCGTAAGACTTCGGATAGGTCTGCGATTACCCTGCCCAACTCAATCCGCGTTCCTCACAACAACATGACCGGACGGTGGCTTACCAAGCTTCATGCAGCTTGGGATCCCAAACGACCAAACCAGTTTGTGATCGGCTGCATGGAACAGCCGCGACGAATTCAGATTTTCCGTGCAGGCCGTCGCCGCCCCGTGCGTGAGCTGATGAGCGACAACTTTGCGTCTGTCCACTCTATCAATGCTTTCCACCCTCATCTTGAGCTGATTGCAGGCGGTAACTCTTCTGGCCGACTTGCGTTATGGCGGGGTAAGAAAACAGGTAAAAGTGATGATGTCAAGGCCGAGGTCCATGTAAAGACTGAGTGAGGAGCATTTAATCTGGCAACCTCTTACTACGTGAACATGTAGCAGTATTATTCTACTCGCCGTGTATGAATTTTCTTATGCTGTATCAATTCTCTTCGCTTCCTATTCAAGTACTGGCTTCATTTTGTTCCTTAGCCAGCGCTTTCTCGTACATTCCTATCACCACACGCGCAAGAAAACAAATATTAGCACTGTGTAACACAATCAACAGACGCACGTGTAAGCTCGCACCTTTTCTTCGAAGCTCCGTGTACTTCGCTTGGACATTCTCAAAGTGAGCGAGTAGTGTATCAGCATCAATGCGCGGAGCAACAGACACATTAGCATCATTATTTGACGAGTTCAAAAATGCACCTTCACTCTTACGTAGCCGACGTGAGTCGCCATTCAAGTCTATACGGCCGATGGCTGTGGCCATGCTCGTCACGCTTGCTAGCCGGTCCCGTAACACCCGAAAAGCGGCACTTTGTGGGAGTAGCATTAACAGTCCGTACAAACTTTTAACTAGGTCTGTGTGGTAGTCCTCCTGAATCTCTAGAAGCTGTAGCCGCATGTGGATGAAGATCGGTGATTCCAGCAGCTGCACGAGTTTATCGATCTGCATCAGGAACCCAACGGATGCATCAATGTCAGCAAATTTGCTAATGAGCGCTGCAGAGAGCGTGTAAGATTGGGCCAACAAGCAAAGGCTGAATGCTGCAATTGGGTTATGGCACCACGATCGGAAGAGCACCGTAAATACTCGGACGTCGTCTTCTGAGGCACGGGGTTGAAAGCTGCGTCGTAAAATATCACGTAGGTGCTCCAATTCATTTGCTGTCAGCAAAATGAGGTTCAATGTTTGAACCATGACGGCAGCAAACTCACTGTCTGCTTGGCTATCCAGGTAGACAGCTTCTGTGCCTAGCACCTTTGCAAAAATGAGGTAAATGCTCTTGGAATCCAAAAGCACACACAACTTTCGCACGATCATGCTGCCACGCATTTCGAGTAGTCGTCGGTCCTGTGCGAAGAGCAGTAGGATCGCATTGAGTACCTTCTCAAACTCAACTTTGTTAAGTGATATGCGAGCAAGCACTTCCAAATCCAGTAGCACAACGCTGTCTGAGATGTCCGAAAGTGTCCGAAGCAGGGCTGGTAGCAGCTTTCCGATATGCGCTGAAAGCTGATTGGGGTACTTTTCTAGCAACATCGAAATCCACCGTAACGCCGCCATTCGAGTAGGTACATGGTCACTACTTAGCTCTGACGTGAGTTTCTGCATAAGTGGTAGCAACTCCACATCTTCTGTTGTCGATTTCACAAGCTGTAGCAAATCATCATTAGCGCGCTCAGCCACCTGCCTAATTTCATGCTCTGCATCCGAGATGCAGTGCATGATGGCAGCCAACAGGTCAGCATAAAACTCCACCAGCTTCTCTCTTCCCAGATTCACAAACTCCTGCACCCAGCTCACCGCTGTCAATCGATTGAATCGCTCCTTGCTGTTGCATTGTCTTACAAGAATATCCACCATGGGACCAAACTCGACATCATCCGTCTGTTTAATTTCGCGTAAGAACTCCGCGAGCGCACTATCTGCTGCCTGTCGAATTTCTCTATTGCCGTCACTCAACATATTAAACAACCCATCCAGAAACTCTGGCAGCCAATCCAACATGTCAATATCCGGCACGGAATCCAGCACGGTGATCCATCCAACCAAAAGTTGACGAATGTAAGGATTGGTCATCCGGATGTATTTGTGCAAAAGGGGGATAAACATATCCACGTCAAAGTATTCGCTCTCTGTCACAATATCTTTGACCAATCTATCCAGTAAATTCGCACCATTCTTTACGTCCACATCGACATCAGCAAATAACTTGCACAACCCGTCAAAAATCTGATTAAAATACTGTAATATATGACCCCGTGCCACTTTGGCAATATTGTACAGTGATTCACACGCATAATAGCGAACCCGACTTTCTGGATCGTCAAAACAATGCAAAACGGGAGGAAGTAATTTATCCAAATACAGATGAGCATCGTGCATGAGACCGATAGCAGTGGCTGCTAATCCAATCAACCCACCTTTCCGGTGATTGGCATTGGATGAACAGGCAAAATCATTCCCTAAAAGTTCAATAATTGCTGGAATGCGTTGACGACTTGGATTGGTTAGAGCTAATGAAGTCCCATCAATACTTTCACTCTCTGTCCCGGATGCCCCAACGTCCGTATTGAGTCGAAAAGCAGGTGATTCTTGATTAAGTTGCAGCTGATGTTGCTGGTGGAATTCAATCGAGGCTGCATTTTCTTGAAGTTGCTTGATTAAATTTTCCAATTCCATTGCTGCACCTTTACGTTTATCATAGGAACGATCGCCTAAGTTGCGCATAAGTGTTGGGGTTAATGGGAGCTGTACGGGAAACCCATTCGCGTCGGGGAAATCACTACCACCTAAACCAAAGGGTAATGCAGCAGCAGTTGCAGCAGCAGCTTGAGTAAGCGCTGATTGTGGCAACATGGGCGAAGAATCCGTTGGGTAGCTCATAGCTTTAGAGGGCTTTTAGGCTCAGAACGTTTTGATAGCGAATTAACAACAATAATTGCAATGAAAATGAATATTTTATTTCAATAATTGTATTATAAATTCTGCTGATAAAATTATACTTACGTTAATTTACAAATATGAGCGCATATATATTGGGCAAGATAGTATCAAAGTGCCATGGACGACGGCAAAGGCCGTAAATTTATGTATCATTGGTGTACACCATGCTCAGCCATTCGTCCCCAATGCTGTGCCGTCCATGGTTATACCCTGCCGCTATGGGCCTGCGGAAGTGCTTTCAAGCTTTTGTTGAATCTTTCGGATGCTTTCCATTGTCATCACGATATTTATCCAGCATTGCAATCAATTCCACGGTCTCTCCGAACTCGAACAACACGAACAAACACGTGGTGGTGGGAATGTCAGGTGGTGTCGACTCGTCGGTGGCTGCGCTGCTGCTTAAGCGCCAAGGATACCGCGTCACTGGTGTCTACATGAAGAACTGGGATCCAAGTGATGAAGAAGGAGCTTCAACGTGCCCCGTGGTCTCGGAGTATTTGGACGTGCAGAAAGTCTGTGAGCGTCTTGGCATTGAGGCTCAGATGGTGTGTGTGTATGATTGTCATAAATGGACTTGTTGACTCGTACTAATGCAATCAATGTGACGGTTGCAGGTAAACTTGGTGCAAACGTACTGGAACCAGGTATTCACTCCTTGTCTGGAGGAGTATGAAAAAGGCTTGACACCGAATCCAGACATTTTGTGCAATCGAGAGATCAAATTTAAGGCCTTTACCGAGTATGCAAAGAAGATTGGCGCTGACTATGTGGCTACAGGTCACTACGCAGCGTTAAGACCTTTGCAAGAGGGTGGACTCCCGAATCTTTTTGCGGCGGAGGATGACACGAAAGACCAGAGCTACTTTTTGTCTAGTGTGGATAGAAATGCTTTCTCGAATGTGTTGTTTCCTCTGGGCAGCATGCGCAAGACGGAAGTGAGGCGTATTGCAGCGGATGAGGGTCTCTGCACGGCAACAAAAAAGGACTCAGTGGGCATCTGCTTCATTGGCAAGCGCAACTTTGCCGACTTTATTCATCAGTATATTCCACGTCAAGAAGGATACTTCTACACAGTCGAAGGGAACAAGTTGCACCCACATCACGGTTTTACAGCATACACCGCGGGTCAAGGAGCGCGATTGCAAGGCATGAGTGCAAAATGGTTTGTAGCAGGCAAGCGTAAACCCGATTCTTCCGTGATCGTCGCAGAGGGTACGCGACATCCTGCTCTTTTTTCGGACGCACTCTTTGCCTTTGCAGCGGGGTTCAACTGGATGGCAGGAGATATGCCTCAAGAGCTTCGTGAAACCGGCCGTATGCGCTGCTTCTACCGCGTGCGCTATCGACAAGATCTGGACGAGTGTACGATATCACTCGTATCTAGCCGCGATGCTCGCGCCAGCGCAAGTAAACTCCATGACTGGCAGCCTGAATCGCTCGTAGAGGACGAACAAGAGGAGTGCAGCTACTTGCGAGTCGACTGTGACAATCCGCAGCGTGGCGTCACACCCCAGCAGGCTTTAGTACTGTATCGTGGTGACGGACTTTGCTACGGCGGTGGTCCCATTGTTGTTGCCGGAAAGACGTATTATGAACAGCAAAAACCTCTTGCAGAAAACGTTCATGACTGGCGTCGACAAGGATAGAGTTTATTTACACCACCAAAGTGGTAAAGAATAGCATTAATTGTACAGTTGTGCTTTTTTACACGTACTTCGTGTTAAAATTGCGGAGATACTTCATGACCAGGCCACTTTAATAGTGGAGTTTGACCCCCCAAACGCCACTTCAGCCACTATTAAGTTTTGCCGATTTAGAATGCGTAGAAAACTGAGTATCGGCCTCGTTGAGATCATCATTTGTCCAAACTATCCCTCCAGCGCGTAAAATTTTGATCATCGAGGCGCATATACTCGCATATGGTTTGAAGGTCTGCGAGCGCGATCCATCGACGATGGAAATCGTGTCGGTATCATGCCGCTTCTGTGTACACTTCGGTCTAGAAGAGAAGGTTGGCGCCAAGCGCAAACCTACAAACAACATCCAATACTTCAAACGGCCATCTCGCACTGATGTCTACGACAGGCACATGAAGGGACAGCATGGTAACTACTGGGAGAAGTATTACGCCCTAACGAATGCGCAGAAGGAGACATATTTTGACGAGAACTATAATGGGGCACCCTCCGACTATACTGATAACAGTATAGTCTACCTTCACTGATGACAGTGAAAGCAAGTGCCTCAATTACCTCACGTACACGTGAGCAGAGGAAGTCAATCAACCAAACAAACGCTTAAATGAGAAGGAAAAGAGAACTGTATCTAATATAGTTAACTATCCTATAAAACTAATCTGTTATAACTTTATATTAACTATATTAAACTACAACTATGTATGTTGACAATTTGCCCTCCACTCATTGCGCGCGTCCATCGGTCATTGGTCAGCGCGTTGGTTGATATGATGGCCCATATCAACCAATGAGAGGGCATCTCCAACTTCAAGGAGATCTAGGAACAATATTATGAGAAACGGTAATATTGTCAAATATTATTAGTTATAATAATATTTTTATTGACACTTCATGTAAGTGTCAATATTATGTAACGGGCTCACCCCGTTACATCACCCCCCCCTCAACAACAGTCACATTAGTGACTGTTTAGTGATTATGGTAAAGGAGAACTTGTTGAATTTTCTTTCATTCAACAATTTTACGCTATGACAAAGTCAATGCGCGTCGCTGCTAAGGCAGCTAAGAGCTCGGCTGCACGCCTGTTGCAGGTTCACGTAGCGCTTCGCCACGTGAAGATGTTGACCCAGAGTTAGTCGTTGACTACTCTGGTGAGTCGGATGACGCATCCGTCTCAAAGTCACCTATTCCACTCCCGGGCTCTCCCCGGGGTGATACCTCGTCGTCTAATGTTACGAAGAGGGATCGTGGTACATTGAGTGAATCAATGTACCGTGAAATGTTCGGGTCGTCTGATGAATCAGACGACTCGCCAAACGAGTCGAGGGATAGTGACTCGGGTGGACCGTAAGGGTGATGTCAGTGCTTCTACTGAAATCAATGCTCATAGTGTCGGTACTTCTGTTAACACTGATGCACGTGGTGTCGGTACTTCTGTTGACACCACGTAGGAGGCTTTAGACCGCAACGTATTGCTTCGTGCTCCTGATCGCAAGCCATGGATGCTACCTAAGCATCTGCTTGATCGTTGGTCTGGAAAGACCAGCGAACGATTTCCCATACCGTTGTTTGATGCGTCAAAGCTTCATGGCCTTGACGCCAGTGCGAAGAACTTTCGCACTGAGAACGACTATTATATCGATGTGTTTCTTGAACATTGATGGTATGGCCCACACAAAAATCGTGAGGGTGACGCGTTCCTCCAATCTTGGAATGCGTTTATCACCAACGTTTTAAATGTTGGGAAAAAGGCTTGGTTTCGAAGACTTTATGCTAGCCGCAATAAGTTTGAGAAACGAAGTAGTCCGGTGCATGCTATCGTTTGCACCGGTTATCTAGAGAGGCAGGCATGTTATGCCTCTCTTGGGGCGACCCATGCCCGGGGTGCCTGAGCACCTAGTCAAGAGCGCCTAAGGAGGCGTACCTCCTTACTGAGCCCTGGTGGAGAGCTCACATCTCTTCTGAGATGCGTGAAGGGATTGCTACTTTGCAATCCCATTACGAGCGCGCTGGGCGCTCGTTTTCCGATGGTCCTTCACCATCGGGTGTCCCTTGTCGTACTGTTCGACAAAGCCGGGAACGTCGGCCATCAGTTGGGACCGAGGTTCCCAGCTATTCGCCGAAGCGGATAGCCACGCTACCGGACCAGATAACTCGTCCGACGTCCCTCGCGGTGATTTAGCAAGCGTTCCACGAGGAAGCGCTTCCCACCATGAGAGTCCACCAGCGAATGCGGTGGTGGAGGAAAAACCCTGTCCGATTCTTTCATCGGACTTGTCTGCTGAGTTAGACGGGTTTTCCCGTGTAACTCTTGAGCTACGTTGTTATGTTGATCACGAACGGGATAAGCATCGACGCTTAGGGGACATTGTGCGACAGCTTGGGTTTGACCATGAGAAGTCTCGGGCTAACAATGCTGTCGCAATATTGGAGAATGAACGGCGACTTCATTCTCTAAGTAACGAGCTGGCGACAGCTCGTCAGGAGATCGTCCAATATCATGGGAAGATCTCATCTCTACACGACCAGGTATCGAATCTGGTTCGTGACAACAAGAATCTGAAGGGGATTCTTGAGAGTAATGGCTATCTTCGGCTTTCGAAGAAGCCGCGTACTGAACGTACGGACGAAGACGTCCCACGTAAAACGTAGGATGCGTACGCATCCTGCGTGGCAACTCGATCGTGTATGCGTCGCCTAGGCGGCGCAATACACGAAATGGGCCGATGTACTTGAGCAACAATTTATTGCTTCCCACGTTAGTCACTACATGTTTAGGTAGGTTTACTGTTGACAGTAAAACTAAATCAAATTCAATAAATGTCTGAGCATTTGCCCTTCCATTATTGTCTGCGTTTCGTTTTTGCTTATCCACCGCTTCCGCGATGGAGTCTTGCACGAAACGGACTACTGCTTCACGAGTCAGCAGGAAATCCTCAGCTGACTCGTTGCTTTTGGCTGCAGTGCATTGTGAGTGCACTGCAGAGATATCGGTTACTAATTCAGCGAGAACATCACTGTTCTCACTTGTGATACCTCGAACGATGCTGACATCTTCAGCATCGTTATCAGTAGAGCGTCATCGCTCTTACTTTCTTCCTCTTCACCGAAGTTGAATGGTACGACTTCGGTTACTTTCGCGTCGACCATAACATCGTCGCGTGATGAGCAAGAGCCAGATTGGTTCTCGCCCGAGCGAGTCCCTCCCCCCCTTAAATTAGAGTCACCCTCTACTAAGGTGAGGACACGTGGATGGCGAAGGCCATTCACGTAAAACGGTGTATGCGTCTTAGACGCATGCACTGAGTTGTTGATGGCGAGATAGATCATCGACAAAACTCACTCTAACTCGTAAACGAAATGACGTACCCTCGGAGAATCTCTTCGAGGACGCGATTGGCGCGTTCAGTCTGACCATCAGTTTCTGGATGGTCAGAAGTAGACATTGTGAGCCGTGTTCCAAGTGTTTGGAACACGGAACGCCAAAACGCAGCCGTGAACCGGGGGTCCCTATCGGACACAAGTTCACGGGGTAAACCGTGCAATCGAAAGATTGTATCGATGGACACTCGAGCACAGCCCTCTGCTGTGATCGACTCAGGTACAGCAACAAGATGTACCATCTTGCTGAACCTGTCCACAAACACGAGAATACCATTATTCCCGTGAGCGTCTTTGGGGAACCCAAAGACGAAGTCCATTGATACGGACTCCCAGCACTCTGCCGGAACAGGGAGAGGCTGCAATGGTGCACGGAGTGAAAGACTAGGCTTCACTTGCTGAAACACCTCGCAAGAACGCACGTACTTGCGCACGAACTTATACTGGCGTGGCCAGTAAAAGTCGCGACTGACCGTGAGGTTAGTCTTCTTACGACCGCGATGCCCACTTATTGGTGCATCGTGACATTCAAACATGATCTGTAACCTGAGATCATGTTGTGGCGGTACAACGACACGAGGCGTGTCGTTGTTGACGGCTGTGTAGTACAGTAAGACGTTCAGCTGGGTGTATTGATCGAGAGAAGATCGAAACATGGCAGGCAAGCGCTTCTTAGCTTGCGTGGATGGGTCCTTGAGATACTCCATCAGGCGTACAAGATCATTATCTTGTGCGCATGCCCTTCTAATGTCGTCGAGTAAGCTCGACGACAAGACGCTGGTACTCAGCGTGGCGACAGTGGTGTTTTACATCACTTTTGGATTGCACAGTCATCTCTAGGTCAGGCCGACGTGAAAGTGCATCGGCGACGACGTTAAGTCGTCCCGGTTTATACTCCACGGAGAAGTTTAACTACGCGAAGAACGACAACCATCTCGCCATTCGTTGCGAGAGGTGTGGACTATTTACAGCCGTGCGTAGTGACGCATGGTCTGTATACACAATGAACGGTCTATCTCCTAAGATAGACGCGAAACTTAGCCAGTGCATACTTCATGGAAAGTAGTTCCTTGTCATGCACCGGGTAGTTACGCGTGGCCGGTTGCAGCTAACGCGAGAGATAACAGACGACACGCTCTGCGCCGTCTGTATCATATTGCATCAGAGCAAAGCCGATTGCAAAATCGCTGGCGTCACAGACCACATGAAATGGTCTATCTTGATCGGCAATCGCCAATACTGGCGATTGCATCAAGCTTTGCTTGATACGTTCAAAGGAACGCTGACAGTCAGCGTTCCAATCCCACTTTGCATATTATCTTGAGTACAAAGAAAGATGTACTGTCATTTCGGCGTAAGTACTGTCATTTTGGCGTAATTTCGCGAGTACTTGTGCAAGTACGCCGCTAGCCCAAGTTTCTTCCTTAGTCCCTTGACATCGACTGGCACTGGCCAGTCGGTGATCGCCTTGATCTTTTCTGGATCAGGGCGTACGCCGTTCTTTCCGACGATTCACCCAAGTAGTAGTAGTTCGCTAGCTGTGAATATACACTTCTTGAGGTTGGCGTACAAATATGCTTGTGCATAAGTGTAAGAACCTTACGGACGTAGAGTCTATGGACTTCCACGTCTTTTTGTTTTCCCGTCCATAGACCGACTATGGACGAACACATCATCGTTCCTGGGGACTTATTCCCTCAGTATATTTTCCTGGGGACTTATTCCCGCAGGCTCGATGAAACTTGTTCCATCGACTTCCTCTACGATCAACTTTCCAGTTGATCTAGGATTACCGTGTTGCCGCTTCTGGGCAACCGGTTTACTCTTCGGTGAATGCTGCCCTCTAGGCGAGCATTCATGTCCCGGTCCACTCGACTTATTCGAGTGGTGGACCTTCGAAGCTTCCTGTGCTTCTGCACAGCCGCCGGCAGCTTGCTCTACAGCGTGACTGTCTGTCACGCTGAGTTCTTGTGCAGTCGTACAAACGACCGAACCACAAGTGAGGCCATCACACTCACTCGTAGAACATTCACACGCTTGTGAACACTTCAAGACGTTCATCAGATGGCCATCTGATGAACAAGCGACAGGCATCTTCACGGTTCGATGCTGCTGCCAGCTGACCCATGGCTCGTACCTTCTGAGCCATGGTAATCCTAGGATGACATCAAATTTGTCATCCAGATCGAGTACGATGAAATCATCATCGTACTTTTTGTCTTCAAGCGTGTAGCGAATTCCCACTACACGTTTCTTTACTGTTACGGATGCGCCAGTTGCAAGGCGCACCGTCATCCTCGTTAAAGGGGTCTCGCGCTCAACATATTTGAGCCTGCGATCATCTAGCGATTGGCGTCGAACAAAGTTGTTCGAAGCCCAACAATCAACTAGGGCGCGAAGTGACATGCTCTTTGTCACTTCGATCTTCAATGTGATGAGGGATACCTCATCACTGGGAGGGGCAACACACAGTGACTGTGTGTTGGGAGCAACCTTCGTCAAGAGTCCCGCGAACTCTCTTGACGTTGCTGGATCAGTAGGGCGCTCCGCCCCTACTGACCCCGACCGTTTTTTGATGGTCCACCACGTTGTTGCGATTTTGCAGCAACGTGGGACCCACGTCTCTGGCCCTTCTTGGCAGACGTACGATCGTCACTCCCAGTGTTACGAGACACTGGGCTTGGGGCACTACACTTATAAGCGTAGTGGCCAACTTCTGACAGCGATTGCACTTTTGCAATCGCTTGTACCCTGGGGAGCGAGGTCGCTCGCTCTCTACATAGGATAGGTCCATTGGTTCTGGACCTCCGCCCTCTTGTCGTCTTAATGGGATATGCTCCCTAGTGGACGTGAGCCTGTTCTAGGCTAAAGTCCTCCTGTTCCGCTGCAGAGATTGCTTGGTCCAGCGATTTGAGCTCCAAGCGGAACAGGTGGGTCTTGACAGAACCATCTGTCAGACCCTTGATGAAGACAGTAACCTGCGTGTGTTCATCGATTGGGTTCAGTACGATACAGCTAACGAGGTATTGTACGTGTTGGGCGTGAGCGTGTATATCACGCTTACCCTGTTTCAAATCCAGGAGCTCAGCCCGAGCCCTGAATTCGGCGCGAGGCGGTTTAAACGTGTGTTTGAGCCGCGCCTTGAAGACGTCATACGTTGGGAAAACGTATGGGTCATGCAGTTTAAGCCCTAAGGTCCAAGCTTTGGCACGTCCTGCCAAGTTCGACATGGCGAACTTGACCTTCATCGCATCGTCATCGATGCGACGAGCCTCAATGGCATCGTCGAGTTCGACTTACCATCTTAACAAGTTGTCGCTTTCGACTGCCATGTACTTGGAGACACCAATATACACGTCGACCCGGCAGCAACAGCACTAGCCTGCTGTTGTCATAACAGTTCAGACTGTTAAGCGCCTTGTTCTCGCAACAGGTCTACCTGTTGAGAACCTTGCTCCTCTAGCAAGGTGAGTTTCTTTACAACTTCGTCAAGCTCATGTTGTATAAACTTGGCGATGGTTGCATGTTGTTCGTCTTCGATAAGAGATAGAAACATAGCACCAACAACAGGGTTGCCGATAGTTTTGGCCATACGCAGAACCGCCTGCTTTTGGAATCACTCGAATGGCGAAAGTCCTCACGCGATGCGTAGTGACATCACAAATCCGCTTGTTCCATGCGGATGGTACGGTGGTCGTTGAACGGACCAAGAAGTGTTATTAGGTGTAGTGGGGCACCTTCCGACTATACTGATAACAGTATAGTCTACCTTCACTGATGACAGTGAAGCAAGTGCCTCAATTACCTCACGTACACGTGAGCAGAGGAAGTCAATCAACCAAACAAACGCTTAAATGAGAAGGAAAAGAGAACTGTATCTAATATAGTTAACTATCCTATAAAACTAATCTGTTATAACTTTATATTAACTATATTAAACTACAACTATGTATGTTGACAACTTGCCCTTCACTCATTGCGCGCGTCCATCGGTCATTGGTCAGCGCGTTGGTTGATATGATGGCCCATATCAACCAATGAGAGGGCATCTCCAACTTCAAGGAGATCTAGGAACAATATTATTAGAAACGGTAATATTGTCAAATATTATTAGTTATAATAATATTTTTATTGACACTTCATATAAGTGTCAAGATTATGTGACGGCCTCACCCCGTTACACATCGTCGATATTATCGTGTGTAAAACAACAATAGGCATGACGATACTGCGCACACTACTTTGCAGGTATTGCTCGTTATCGATGAGAATTATCCCACAAATACCGAAGCACAATTAGAATTTACGAATTACTATACACAAGAAATTTTGGAAGAGTTTATATAGAATGCAATATCGTTTCCGGAGGTCCACCAACCACTCTTCTTTAGACTCGTCAAAGAGCAGATGGTTATAGATTTGCACGTTGTTCCATAGGGGTAGCCCAGTATTGACGTATTTCTCCTTAATCTTCTTGACCACGTCTTTAGAAACACCATCTCTTAAAAGCTTGCCGTCAAGAGTTTCCACAAGAATTTCATCATCCAACCACAAACTGAATTGTTTGTGAAGCAGACGCTCCGCCCGCGTTACTACGGAGCTCTCCTCGTTCGTCGTAGTGAGCATCTCTCCAGTTTTTGACTCGCCGAACATCTCCTTGAGCTGAGTCAAATCATCCCATTGTGAATCTATACGAGTAAAAAAGCCCGAGAATTTGCGAAAAGTGACCTTGAGCGGGCCGTTCATGCGTTGGCTACCGGTGTTAAGCTTCGCAACATTTAAAACCGTCCGCTTTGATTCCCCATCAAGTTGACCCTTCAACAGCCGCATTAGTAGCAGTTTTGGAGCGAGATGTGTCTCACGACCAGCGTTTATGTCGTTGACTAAATACTTCACCAAATCGTTCGTATTAAATTTACTTGACAATGTCGAGTACAAGGTCGGCAACACGCTTGAGGTCTCCTTATCCGATGTCGTTGACTTAATGAAATCAATCAATCTGTAAAAGAGTGGGTTTTGAAATAGCTTCTCGTTTGATGTGCCAAGTTGTAAAACGTCGAAGACATCTGCCGCAGACATCCCTTGCGAGTGCCAATACCGCAACTGGGCAGCTTGTAGATTTTTAGCGAAGGCTGTCATTTCCTTGATCTTTGCTTCTGCATCGAGCAATCTGGCCAGTTTATAGTCATTGCCGGGATTCAGAAACAACTTGATCAAACTGTTATATACGACTTCTTTTTGTTCCAAGTTTGTGACGCCCTCGACCCTTTGCGAAATGCCTCCCATTATTTTTCCAACTGCCTCATGTGCATTGCCAGCGTATAAATCTGACAATTTTTGTAGGGCAGCAGCTTCACTTTGTGATAATTCCACTGCCACAGGTTGTCCCATGACTTTAAGAGGTAGCATTCTCTCTTCAAAATTATAGGTGTGGTCGCTCTTTGCCGCGTGAAGCCTCAAGTTTCGATTAGCTTGGACCGGCGTATGCGCCGCCTTCAGCGCGCGGGAGCTTCGCATGACATCCTGTGATATCCATGCTGAGGTGGCCACTCTCGAAGCTACACACGCCAGCAGTGCAATAGCAGTTAACACCTTCGCGTAAGAAGACCGAGAAACATCCGTCAAGCCGATCACAGTCGCAGCTTGCTTTTTCTTCCTGTCCACCACAAACTCTGTCGCACCCGAGTCAGCCATTTTCTGCTCCTTTTTCGTCAAACTAAAGAACGCCATTACAGCGTCAACACCCATGGCATGGGCAAATTTGTGGCCAAGACCATTGACGTCCTCGACACCCACACGCTTATCAGGCTTCACACGATTCTCTTCTAGCGATATGAGCACAGTGGTATCAGCACACAGCAGCAGCGCAGCACCGTCGGATGGAATATTGTCCAGGATCTTGAAAGCGTCCTCGTGGGCTACACGCACGTAGTCGGGATGACCTCTATCTGACGTCGCTCCGTTCTTCTTGTACTTGTCGTTGTAGGTCAAGACCCTGTGCGTGCAGTACGCGTCATCGCCACTCAAACATTCGTTGCATGGAACCGAGGGGTCCTTCTTCAGACAAGACCACGCTAGATCGCCGACACCGACACCGACACCCACACGGTCACCGACCTTAACATCGGGGCCAGCCAACGTCACCTCACTGACAATCTCGTGACCCACCACACACGGACACGTCCAAATATCCCCATCGCTCTCAATAGTGTGCAGGTCGAAGCCGCAGATACCGCAGTGCAAGTTCTTCAATTTATGTTACTGGTACCATCGGCTGCAGACATCTTTGACTTGAGTAGTGAGTTGAGCGCAAATTGAGAAATGGTGTGATCTGACAACGGCGTTTAGTTGGAGCTCTCGGCTGTAATCGGTTAGATGATACAACAATGCTCCCATCCGATCGGACCAATAAAGAACATTTTGGATCTGATTGGATGGTTCTACAAGAATCTCTTGACTGGCACGACACGATCCGATGCAAATCTACGCTTGAATTGCAAAAGAATTCGTAGGCAGTCCACTCCTAAGTATTCAAAAGTCACCTCTAGCTCGATGCTAAGATTTATGGCTACATAAAAGCTCTTACTCACTGAAATCTCAATTGTCACATGCCAGGGTTTCGTATGGGATTCTAGGATTGACACCTTCGCACTTGTTCGCGAAGGTCGAAAATTGAATATCGAGTGCGAAAAGCTCATACTGTAACAGGGTATCTAGTTACACGTAAACATTAAGTAATATACTTAATGTTTGGTCTAAAGTATCCATGATTACTTTTGACCTGTCACTTGGGTGCGATACACAAATGTGATCCACCCTCGTGAATGTGATATCCATTGATGGATTCACATAAGAAGGGATGACGCTAGTTGAAGCTAGGCATCGCGACGTCTCAGAAGGACGTCAGTTGCGATCTTAAATCTAGATTTAAGATCATGCGACAGGATACGCTTCTAAAGAGTCGCGTATCCGATCTATATATATATATATATATATATAGCCAGTAGATATGTATATATTTAGTTATAATTCATTAAATATAGCTCAGTCTTGAATTTACTTAAACAAACGCACCACGCACGAGAAGTTGAAAGACGTCTGCGTGACGTCGGTGCTTTAGTGTTAAGAATTTCGTTGCACTCTCGCTTAAGCGAGAGGCAACTGGTGGTACGACTGCTTAAGCAGTCGACCACCTCCCAACCACCCTCGCACGCGGAGCTAAGACGGTATAACCGCTTCCTCGCTTGTGCATAAGGTGTGTGCTCGTAGTACGAGGCAACTTCGTGTAGAAGTGCCCGTCTACACTTGGTAGCACTTGTAGTCCTTCCCACGACCCGTCTCTCTGAGCGTGCGTGTGGTTGATATGGTCCTTAATATGGACTGGAGTGACTTCCCTCACCTCTCCCAACATCATAGGGAGTTGGCAGAGCATATGGCGCAGGGACTTGGTGAACAAGCCCTGGTCAACCTCTTGCATTGTCCTCCTGAGCAACCTGTTGCTCAGTTGGAGCAATTTGAGGCGTTTGTGCTCGGACAGCGTAGAAACGCGTCCGATGTAAACAGCCAAGCCATCGCTGAGTCCATCACTAAGACTCAGGATGAGATTAGGCTTGAGCAGGCACGTAATGAGGCGCTCGACAGAACTGTTGAGACGCTCTCTGCCCTGCCTGCTCAACCGAGGCCCATTCGGATGGACCCTCCGAAGTTCGATGGAACTAGACCTCACACGATTGTTCACTGGTTATTAGCAGTGGAGCAATGTGGAGTGGCGCAGCTCATCGAAGACGACACCAGAATGGTGTCGTATGCCATGTCCAACTTGCGTGGCAAAGCGTCAGAGTGGGCATACTCTGCGCTGATGGCTAATGCTGATGCATTTCCATCATTAGCGATCTTTAAGGCAAAGATTTGCGCCATGTATCAGCCGCCTAACAACGAAGTGTTGCTTATGGTGCGCTTCTTTGGAGCACGACAGGCGAAACGCTCTCTGCAAGAATTTGCTCAGGAGTTGCGTTCGCTGTCGGCGTCCATCAATGGGGAACCGATACCAGAGCGTATCAAGTTGGCCACGTTCATGAATGGACTACGGCGAGGACCATCGCGTCAAGCCCTTTCATGGAAGGTGTAAAAGGCGATGGAAGAGGCAATTGACATTGCCTTAGTTGAGAAGCAATCCTACAACAGCGCCTCGGCGACAGCCTATTACAGGCCGTCGTCCGAGAAATCTGATGCCACTCCTATGGAGTTAGGCAATGCAGATGTGATCTGCTACAAGTGCGGCAAGCGAGGCCATATGATGGCTCGCTGCTATGCCAAACTTGCTGCTGGTGCTAAGGCAGCCAGCAAAAGGTCTCCCAACCCGAAGGGAGGTGCGAAAAACCAGCGTGCACGACGCACGGGTTCAGCACCTGCCCAAGATGGGTCGGGAAATGCGGGAGCGCAGGAGGGGCGGGATGCCCTACTGTCGCGGCTCTGAAGCTACCCCTAAGTTCAGAGTGATCGAACAAATGGGTAGCATAGTCCCTGAGGTTCCGAAAGGTCGGACCTCAACCCTTTTGGTCTATAGCGCTCGAGTACGAGGCTATGACCAAGTGATGACCCTTCTCGTTGATTCGGGTGCATCACAAAACTTTGTGAAACTCGCGGCTCTGAAAAATAGTCCGGTAAGTTATGAGTCGCTTTGCCAGGACGGCAAGCGAGAAGAGGCGATCGTTCGTTTAGCGAACGGCGCGCTCGTTAAATCGGAGGGAGTTCGAGTTGAACTCGCCTTCCGTTTCAGTGACTTCTCTTGTAAAGAGAAGTTCACAGTGCTAGGTATGGAGAGTCCGTATGACCTCATCCTAGGCATGCCTTGGTTGGCTAAACATCAACCATGGATAGACTGGCGTACACGCACAGTCGCTAGCTCTACGCAAGACACCGGAAAGGATGTGCTCTTGCGAGAAGCTTATGTGGCTGATGCTGTGTCCAACACAGTCGAGGATGCGATGACGGTATGTCAATCGGCACCAGGAACTACCCAGCTCGAAAGGAGTGGTGTAGTTGGGAGTGCACTGGCGGAAAGCCAGGTGACACATATTCCTACCCAGGTCGAAAAGACTGGTGTAGTGAATGGGGCGATGACAGATAGTTATGCGTCCAATAGTCCTGCCCAGAGCCGAGAGCCTGTGGCAGTTGATGGTGGGCTGACAGGAAGTCAAGCGCCACAAGATTCGACACATAGCCAAGAGCCTGGTGCGGTTGGAAGGAGTGCGTTAGCTGAGATAGCAACGACACCTTCTTCCAGGTCAAAGGTCGTGGTGACTCGAAGAACGAGCACCAGACGTATTAAAACGATCAAGGGCACGTCGAAACGAGTGACCCTTGGATCAGTCACGGTCCAAGAGGACGGACCTACGAACGAGTTGTTCGAGTCCGTCGAAGGTAAAATGCTGGAGACATCCTTATTTGAGTTGCTCCAACTTGTCTTGGCATCTTCCGAGGAGATAGTAAATCTCTCGGAGATGACGTGGGATCTGTTCCTGTCCGAACTAAAGGAAGGAAAGATCTACGAGATAGTCGCACCAGTTCCAGAAGAGAACGTGGTGAGCTGTTGCTCGTCTTCCACAATGGATGAGAGCGTCTTGGAGACCGACAAGGAGAAACGGTTTGCTTCTCAAGGCTGGGAAGCCTTAAAAGACAGCCCTTTCTATGTTGTTCTGTGGAAACACCGTGATGTGTTTCCAGCAGAAGTGTCGATCCACCTACCGGCCGATAGGGGCATCAGGCACAAGATTGACCTGGAGCATGGCACCAAGTATTGTGTGACTAGGCAATGGACGTTGACGAAGGAACAAATCGATTACATCGATAAGTTCTTCGACAAGCGAGCCAAGGCGGGACATGTACGTGAGAGCAAGTAGCCTCAATGCAGCCCGACCTTCTGTGTGCGTAAAGCCACGGGTGGATGGCGCGTGGTTCATGCTTATAATAAGCTGAACACGGCCACCATTCCGACGCAAACGCCGATCCCGCGGAAAGATGTCTTGTTGAATTCCATGGGAAAGTCAACTATCTTTTTCGCGTTATTCTGAAGGATGGCTACTATCAGGTTCTCATGAGAGATACCGATGTAGCCAAAACGGCAGTAAGCACCCCAAGCAGTATGCTGTGAGAGTGGCTTGTGATGCCACAAGGGTTGAAACATGCTCTAGCAAAATTCAATCCAGTGGTAGCTCACGTGATGCGTCAGCACCGTGCCTACGCGCCCCATGTGTTTTGACAATTTATTCTTGCATAGTAGGGCGGAAAACGCTTTGAGCGCGGCAGCACACCTCTCGCCTAAAATGGCGAGATGGCTAACATTCTTCTCTGAATTTTATTTCAAAATTGAATATAAGCCGGGTAAGTCGAATGTCTTGGCTGACGCGTTATCGCGCACACCAGACTTCGAGGCAAGACACCAGGATAGTGTTTCTCGTGCGAAAGCACAAGTTGAGTCGTCAACATTGGCATCCATGAAGGCCTACCATGTGACGAGCTCAATGGCCTCCGATATCAAGGAGTGTTACAGTCAGGACGAGCATTGTCGCCTGCTGTTGGATCATTTTGTTGGACGAAAGGTTACCCTTCCTTCGCACCTCAAAGCGAAACTAAATCGCTTTAGTTACAGTGATGGCCTGTTATGGCATCAACTGTCACCCTGTGATCCCTTGAGAATATATGTCCCTGATGACACAGATCTAAAGCTGATGATGCTTCACGAGTGCCATGATGCGCCATCTAGTGGGCATCTGGGCCGTGAAAAGACATTCTTACGAGTGTCAGAGGAATGTTGGTGGACCCATCTATATCGGTGGGTGGCCAACTATATTCGCTCTTGCGAAGAGTGTCAGCGCATAAAGCCTGCACCTTCGAACAGTGCGCCACTGAAGCCACTACCGATTCCAACTGAATGTTGGAAGTCGGTCAGTTTGGACTTCATGTTTGGCTTACCGCCTGACCATAAAGGCAGGACGGGGCTCGTCGTCTTTGTATAGAGACTGAGCAAGATGGTGCATTTGGCACCATCTGGAAAAGAGGCTGTCCTCTTGTTTCTGGATCACGTGTATCGACTACACGGGATATCCGAGTCCATAGTATCGGACCGGGATCCGCGTTTTACGTCGGGTTTTTGGCGACATGTGTTCGAGCTGCTGGGTAGCAAGCTCCACATGTCAACCGCTGATCATCCCCAGACCGATGGCCAAACAGAACGGGCCAATCGAGTCGTGGCGGATGTGTTGCGTACAATAGCGACTCCTAA